AGTGAGAGCCGGGAGTCATATAAATTGGGCTATTTAAATCGCAGGAGCTGAGATCTACAATCAATAGATGGAAGAAATGTTCCCTTTTGCCCTCTGTCTACTATCATTGAAAGGTCTCGGACTCAGCTGCATTCGCTCAGCCTTGGCAGAATAGGTGGGCTAGCGTTTGCGCAGACATTAGAACATTTACCGACTGGACTCCATGGAATGCTATACTGAGAGACTGTTAGGCTGGTATACTTTGCGGGCAACGGCCATCGTCCACCAGTGTTCACCAGCGACCGGCATTAGAGAGAATGGGAGAGTGGCTGGCAAAAAGCTGGGTTAGGCGTCGTGAAATTGTGTTGTGTGCAACCGCACCGCACAAATGCTAAAGCACAGATCTATGCAATTCAATGTTCAGTGTGCTATAGTTGTACAGTGCGTTTGCACACGCCGCAACTTCACTACGCCTCAGCTGCTTTTCCACCCTCCTAATTCCCCATGCTCTCTACCCCCCTCGCTGGCAGAGCTGGCAGACGCTGGACCGATCCCTAAACACTCCTAGTCCCTGATCTTACCGGTTGCTCGGAAGCTAGTAGTGCTGGCAGACGCTGCCGCAAAGTATGAACGCGTCCTAACGCATAGCAGGGCAAGTGGGGACACTGCTAGTGCTCGCTCGAGCACTTCGATAATAGGCATAGGTCGCATTTGCTGCATCAAACTGCCGCTTACCGTATATCACATCATTTTCTTCTACCGACAAAACCGAAGCCAAGTGTGCATTCCTTTGTTTACATATGGCTTCTGCCTCATCCCATGTTGCTCGTTGAACAATTACCTGAGTAAGTTATCCTCCAGATAGAAAGTGCATGAGACAAAAGTAAATGTCATAGTTACTGTTCTATCAAATTGAGGCTATAGGTACCTACTTTGTACGCTATTTCCTTTTCTTCCCAAAGAAACCAACCATCAGCTTCATGTATTGTGAAAGCTTTCCTGACTTTGCCACGAAGATCGCGACTCGGTTGCATGGCAGCATTTGAAAACCAAGCCGGCGACAGGAAAAGAAGTGCAATCGTGGATACAATGTGGAAGGCCATCTTCTCGTTACCTGAGAGAAAGTTGCTTTAGAGGCACGGTCCGCGATCAGGTGTTGAAGTTGAAAATATGGCATCGAAAGGGTAGTGTGGTCCACGACAAGCAACTCTGTACCGGTTTCGCAGTAAAAAAATTCTAAGAGGGGGGCGGGCACTAATGTGCAAAGTAAGCCCAGCGACGCATCCTTTTCTCCATAGACTCCTGAAAAAGCATCATGGGTGTCTTCAGAAGTAATGGACTTTGGAAGCTTGATAAACCGACTACTCGTATAGGTAAATACACCTATCAAGAGAGAATACCGCGCCTCTGAGCAAGCTCGGCATGGCGCTATTTCAAGCGAAGATGGGTCTTATAGCTAAGGCACGCTATCGCTGTGATAATCACAACAGGAGGGTCGTCTCGACTAGACAGCGAGGCGGGGGGGGGCGATCGTAAAAGCAGAACCCCTTCTGAACTGGGACAGAAGCAACCTGCAAGCTCAGAAGTGGGGAACTAGCGTTGGCAAGAAGTGCGACGTCTAGGCAGATGTAGCGCAAGCCCAACTTTCGCTTTCACCAGTACCTGGTGGTGCTCTTGTCCCGCTCGAGGCTCTCTCCATTTCGAATTTTGAGAGCTGAGTGATGTGATAAGGAGAGAGAGATGACAGAATCAAGTGGAAACTCGTCCGACCACGCCCTTTCTTCGCCTAATGCAAGTACGGGCGCGAATGGTATTGGGGGGTCTATATAAGGCGTTTGGGGCGAGTATAATTCACTTTTGTGTTGTTTACTTTGTTAGTGATTGAGCCCTATTCTTCACCATTTCTCATAACACTGAAACCTGTTCGATGTCAAACCTGTCCAGCGTCGCGGTTCCTTCGTGGTCTGTGGTCGAAAGCCTATTTCTGTGCATTTGCGAAGTATCCCTTCCCTGGTTTGCCAAAGTAAGCACAAACAGCTCTTGGTGAGGGCACATCGTCGTTGGGGAATCCCCAATGGGGGGGGGGGTCGTATTTGGCCGCCAGGAGAGGGGGGGGTCGTATTTGGGCTGGGAAAAATTTATTTTGATAGTTGATTTTTCTCGCTTCACGGACGTTGTAAAGGGGGGAGGTCGTACTTGGTCATTGTTGGAGGGGGGAGGGGGGGGGGGTGTTCGTATTTACGTTTTGGCCTTGTAGGAGCGGCGGTTGACTTTTTGTGATTTTCCTGTTTGCATGCGTACTGTTGCGTAATATACCCTCGTCATCCGGGCAGTTGATTAGGGCGGTCGTCAACGGGCCGCAGCGCGTGCCAGGAACTATTTGCTTTTTCCAGGCTAATTTAGTCATTTTTTCCAACTTTTCACTGTTTTGGCTACTTTTTCCCAGATTAGCAGCTCCTTATCTTCACAAGGTGGAAAAAATGACTAAATTAGCCTGGAAAAGCAAATAGTTCCTGGCACGCGCTGCGGCCCGTTGACGACCGCCCTAATCAACTGCCCGGATGACGAGGTTATACTCTAATCCGCGCTCGACGGCCCGATTCGATGAGGAAGAACAGAGGGAGGGGGTCGTATAGACTCGACTAAAATTCCCAACTATTTATGTGCCCTGCTTGCGACTAGGTTTCGAGTACCTTAAGCAGCTTCCAACGATCAAATCTGCATTTCGTTCGTTACTCCTTCACTTTAGCAGACAAGTTCTATGAGGCTGTTTTTCTAGATAATGATCAGTCGTTCAAACAAGGTACTGTCCCTGTAGCCCTGAAGCGCTCAAATGGCTGGACAAGATCCTGGCTCACATGGAACATGCCGAGAACTTACGACTCTGCAGGGATCTACTCAGCAACCGAGAGCTATAAGCACTTCGAGCAGCAACGTGAAATCACTGGACGTTTTATGATAGAGACGTTATAAATGAACTCCCTTCCCAGTGACTCCTAGTTTTATAGTACATGATAAGATAAGGCTTATCTGTATGAATAGCCTTGACCAGTACTAGTGAATGGTACTTTTGATGATATCACGGAGAACATTTGACATAATTTCAATATTATACTGACTACATAATCCCGAATCTAGTACAGTCTTCAACCACCGAAACGACGGGGCGTGTCAGGATGACGTGGATTTTGGCGCCGCGCTATCCCGTTTTCCAGATGAAACAACCAATTATAGAGAATGAGCTGGTGCCGCTCCCAAATGCACGCCACACTAATACGCCCCTCCTTTCGGTGGTTGATAATCAAAATAGGCATGTTTCCAGAAGGCATCCAACCAGGCTCGTTCACTCAACAGTTAGATTTTGTTGATACTACTTTCAGACATCCCTTTGTTGCCTTTTTTCACCAGTAATTGTTCTCAATAGGTTTTCCAGTGCTACCAACACTGTGGCCGTGTTTACAGACTGAATGGGAAACCACCGAACACACTACCCAAGAGCAATGAATGAAGTGCACTAAGGTCCCGAGACCGTGACGCTAAAGCTAAAGGATAAGAGTCAAGTGTAGGATGAATGTTAGAGAGGAAGTATGCACTTACTACTGGATACTGTGTTCCTTGCCAAGTGGGAGGTGAGTGAGTTCGCACCCGCTATATCGTCCCACTTCTCCGTTCAAAATTGCTCTGGAGCGGGCTAGTGGTACCCGGATGCCGTCTCGCGATTTCGCACAACCAACGCAGGGCACGCCTAAGAATGAACTCCTGCTGAATACGATCCCCCCCCAATCAACAAAAAAAAGATGAAAAAGGCGGGAAAGCCGTCTCAAAGCATTTGTCAACAGGAAAGTTAAGGTGTGTGACTCCTACGAACGGTTACTTCTGTGATCGAAAGGATTCGTAACACAACAGTTTATTGGGAAACAACGAACACTTATACTACAAAGGAAAAACAAATCACTAGCGCTTGATTCGCCAAGATTCGTCTTGGCCTCGACCTGAAATGGAAAGAGGATAGGGTACTTACCGGGGTCGACGGTGACTGGGAACGGCGAGGCGGGTAGGCCACCAGCGGAGAGCGGACACACACGAAGAAGTGAACTCACTCCCCACGGCTAGTCTCTCCTATATCATTCATACGATACGAGACGATACGATAGCTTATCTCTTCTACCCGTTCATTCTAGCATGCCCTCTTGGAGTGGCTGGTGGGCTGTATGCCCGCTGGCAATCTCCTCTTTAACATGCCTCCCCGTCGCGGAGTCGTCGACCTCGGCGACTGTTCGAGCTCCGGTAGCCCAAAACTGATCGCCTTAGTCTCTTGCCCTATTTCTGATGAAACGGAGGTAATCTTTGCCTCACTTGCTTTGGGTGGTCCTCTCCAATTAACCGCTACCCTTCGGTTTCCTTCTTTGGGTGTCGGAACATACAGCCGGTTCCCTACCCTTGGATGTTTGTTACCATCAATTTTATCTTTTCTGCCATACATGTCTTTCCTGTACGACCTTTTTAAACTAGAGCTTTGTGCTGCCATCCTATCATGAGGTTTGGCAATCGCCTGACTACGACAGGAGCTCGACGACACAGTCACCTTCTTGCTAATCCTGCTTTCAAAAGATGCTTTGTCGTCCTTCCTGCGTACTCCGTTTACAGCCAGTTTAATTCCCAATTTCTTCAACGCGTTCGTTCCAATGATAGCCTCTGCTTCCTTGTCCGCACTAATATGGAATGCAATCATCTCGGTGTTCCCACTATCCATTTCAACTTCGATATGAACTGCGCCAACGAAGTCCATTCTCTTGTTGGAAGCATCAAACACTGGTTTTAGCCTTGACTTCGGCACTACCTTCAAAGAGTCAACATCCCATCCTCGATCTTGTGCTTTCGCTAGGACTTTCAACGGAATAATGCTGATCATGGAACCAGTGTCTACAAGGGCTGTACACCGATCTCCAAGAAGTCTCACAGGGACCATTATCCGTTTCCCAATGAGATCGCTGTCATCAGATCTTTTTCGTCGAGCTTTCATCCCCATACTACGATTTCGCTCTATTATGGAAGACAACTTTGTTTCTTCATTCTTCGAAGGGAATTTCTTTCGATCCCTATGGTTAACATTTCCCATTCGGGATGGGCATTCACGTGCTATGTGTCCATATTTTGAGCAATGGTAGCACTTCCTCCCTTGTATTGCTTCACCATATTTCGGTTCCTGCGTTGCAGAACTCCTGTCTCCGATACTTGCTTTCCTAGCTTCACCCGAATGAACGGTTTTCGCATTGTGCTGTATTTGCATCTCGATTTCTTGGTGATTGAATGGTCTCGCTATCGGCTTCTGCCATATCTGTGTCCTTTCTTTCTTGCCCTGGTACTGAGCATATCTGTTTTTCCACGCTAATGGCTTGTACTTGTTAACTTCTAGCATTATTTTTGATTGTTCTATACTGATAGCCAACTGTTTTACTTCTTCGTATGCCTTCTGAGGCTCCACTCTGTGAAGCGCACCCACCAACTGGAAGTGTTCAGGCCAGCCGCTCAGGTTGTCTAAAAGTATTTGAGCATAATCCATGGACCTGTCTTCTAGTGACTGCTGATTCGCTTGTCGGAGCAAGCCAAGCGACGCGCACACGCCGCGCACGGGACGCCGCAAACGCGGCAATCCCGGAACAAGATCAAGTGGCATTACCGTACTCTCGAGTTGTCATTGGAGCAAGGGATTAGCGTTGTTTCACGGCGTCATTTAGCATTCGCCATTCGCTTTTCCATGCTCGACAATCATTTAGGAATACAACCCGCTGACAGGCGCATTTGTCATGGTGGCATTTTCCCTTGTCCTTACTCATCTTTTCGTCTAATCTCTTTATTCCGCGTGGAACGTTCGTTTAAGGCGTGTCCTTTCAAGCACGTAGATTCATCAATTGCTCGCGTCACAACGGTTAGAGAAAGATGGATGAATATGTTTTGAAGAAATAAACCAGGTTACCGTATTTGTTGCTGACGCTTAGGGATGATATACCTTGCTTGCTTTTCTGTACTATATTGAGCATAGAACTTTGTTATATGTATTACTTTGCGCTTTGTACTGCGTCGATGTGTGTGGCCTTGTATATGGGGGCGCAATGGAAGCTTGAGGGACTCACAAGGGTGTCCTAGCAGTTCACGGCAGGGCCGAAATCGTGTTGGAAGAAAGTTCTGTGTTACAACCTATCTCGTCCGTATCCCAGTTTCTGCTTCTTGTTGCAAACAATGTTTAGCCTTCGTAGCCTCCCCTGACATTTCTCTCAAATTTTCGCGTTGGGAGGATTAGATTACGACTTGGATTTTTTACGTCCAAACTCCACCATTGTACCACTACTAAGCAGCGCGCCATATCTACGAAGCTTTATTGCTTTTCATACTACCTTTCCATGTTCTTATGTTGCGGTTGTTCGTCGCAGAATTGCTAAAGCATCGTCAAGAGGCCGGATTTAGGCGCCGACTTCAAGCCGTGACTCCAACCGATCGAGAGGCCTGATGGCGTCTTACTTTCAGTTGGTTAGAAGGACTTGGCAAATCCCAAAATCTGGCCCTTTTGACACCTCCGCTCAATGTCGGAACAAAACTACTCGCATAGGAGTTTCGGCCGCGGCCTTGTCTACAAAAATAGTTGCAGTTATGTGGTGAAAGCATTACATGGCCATTCAACACAGTAATTACAACTCTTTAATAATGAACTACTCCAAAGTGAATGCATTCGATAAAGCATGTACGCGCCACTTCGAATACTTGCATAAAATGGAGGAGGTGCACTGGGACAGCTGATAACACATCCGAATCATTACTTTGAATTGTCGCAAGAGGTTAGTTGTTTTTCACAGTACTTGTTGAGATACTGATGGCAACTAGAGACTTATGTTAGACTGAGTCCTTCGCGTTTCCTAGCAGGGTTAATTAGGATGTAGGAATTTGCTTAGGCGTGGAGTTTTTAGCGCAAACGCTCATACTTGTTCCGTTTTGCACATGTGCTATGAACCCTTTGCTCGTACAGGCACGATATCTAAGAAACCTAGCTGTTCGGAGTTTCGAAGGTCATTGACTCCAACCAGAGTGTCGGTGTAGAATTTGTTCATTCTTGCTGTTCCTGCTATCATTCATGAACAATTAGCGTTGATACAGGTTCTGAGTGGAGCACGTTCTAAAATCATCACCTGATCCAGTCACACAGCTCACGAATGCCTGCACAGATAGTCAAGAAGGAGGAGGACTTTTCGGATAGCGAACAGTAAAGCCTGAAAGACTCATAGAACTGCCTTCTAGGATCTTACGTGTTTCATCTTTTTTTTTCTCGATATTTGTTGTTTACTTCCATAGTGATGCACTATTTTTCACTTTTCTGCCTTTTACTGTGTTTTACTTATGGATTGACAAGTTTGAGCCTTTTTACTGTGATTTAGACCTTGTCAGATCTTTTTACAAGTTTATGAAGTACACTATGAATCAATATAGCTTAGTACTTTACTATCATGAATAATCTTTTTTCGATTTTCGTGACTGCCTTTTGCTATCATCTCGCAGGATCTGTATGGACGCCACTTTGTTGTTGCGAGTTTTTCTCTTCGTTTGAGTGTGTTTTTTTAGAGTAATATTTCATTAAATTCTTTTGGTGTGAGCGCTTTTTCAAACTATCAGCCAGGCTACGGGCTGACAGCTGGGAACCATTTGTATACGTTCCGTAGGACATTTACAGTCCTCATCATTACGGTTTCTTGGGGCGTGTCAGTGTGGCTGCGTTTGCTGCGGTGAAAAACCATCAGTTGTTGACCACCTGCACCAGTTGTTGAAGCAGGCAAGTGACATCACTGTGTTATATCCTTCGTATTACTAGTTTTCTAACACTTTTTGTCGCATACGCGTTGCAACAAAGAAGATGAGAACGGCTTCAACAATGTGCGCACTCATTCTGGCTGACAAGCCCCACCGGTCCGCAATGTAAGGACTGCACAGCACCTTTTGCTAATCACCTTCAACTAAGTAGCTTCAAAAACCGTGGTGACAATTTGAAATCATTTCACCTTTATGCACGTCTCACTGTCAACAACCAATCGATTAACAATCACCAGAAACAAAAGTTGGAAAATACTACTACATACTACATATATACTCTCGTCCTGCCACACTGGCAGTGTTCTGCCCAGTAACTGCTAGAATGCTAGTATCCTTACTAGTATATCTACTCAAAGAATGTCATCATACTGTTACATACACATCTTACGAGTGAATAGTCACATTCATTGCTCGAGGCGTTGATGAAGAGTTAAAACTCTTTTGTACTTAGGCAGCAAAGCGATAACAACCATGAACATCCTGATAGTAAAAAGAGAGATCAAAGAGAAGCTGAACGGGAACCAAAAAAGCTTACTTTTCTCTTTTTGACTGCGTAAGCCGCTGATCATTAAGCAATTCGTCCAACATCGTCCGCTTTCTTTCTTTCTTGGTCATACGACTGCTATAGAAATCTTGGGGAGCATCAACAACACGTCCAACCTAAAATGTAGAGTCACATTCTCGAAAATGACGGATCTACTTAACTTCAATTATTGACATTTTAAGGATTGCAGAACACAGAATCTCACCAAGAGTAATTATACGGCGACAGTTTCCGCGTGGGCATGCAATACGTGTGGATGCTACTTCGCAAATTAGAAGACAGTTGCATGGGCAACGTACATATCTGAAAGTTAGGGATCACAGTTACTTAAGATTACGTCCAACGTATAACAACTAATCTTACAAAATTATGATCAACTTGAAATTAAGTTACGCGAAACGTTTGAAAATACTTCAGCGCCATAGGAGCACGACCGATATTTGGTGTGTAGCTTCGTGACACCCATTGCAGTTCACAACATGTTGGTTGTCACGACCGTTGAGTTCAATTTCCTCGCCACAAACATGGCACATGACTGTCGCACCTGATTGTTGAGATCGGGATGGATAAATGAGTACCAGAACGAAACAATCATTCACGCACAATAACTACAGCAATAACCCCATCCGAATAACGAACCTGTTGTGTGCGTCCTGCTAGCATCGTCTACACTTCCTACACTTTCATGATGCGTATTTTCGCATCGTATCATACGAGGGAATGCCATGATCACGACCTCGTTGGATATTCAGTGAGCCAAGATCCGTGCTGAAAGTAAACATGCAGAAAAGCGCAATACACGTTGATTGCGTGGGCTGGACACTTCACCCTTTTGCTGGTTACTTTTATCCTTGGTGCTAACAAGGGAGGTCGTTCAGGCCGTGGTGAGCTTTTTTCCAAACGGTATTGTCTGCATTTGAAGGGCGTCCATACACAAAACCACACATATGGGTTCATTTGTAAAACGACACTGATTGGGAATGTCAAAAAAAGGTCGAAAATAATTCGAAATGAATGCATTGCATTGCATTGCATGCCTAGTGTGGTGCTTGAAATTGGACCTTATTCCGTATTATTTTCCATGTCTATTTTGAGGGACACATCATCAACTATGATGTATTCTGCTTACAGCTTAGAGCACCTGGTCAAGATGTCTTAGGTATTTTTTTGGTGTGATATGAAGCTTCCAGGAAAAGAAAATGGAAGCGGAACGAGCGAGATACAAGAACGAAATGAAACAGTTGCAAGGAAAACTTCGTCGATTGGCACTGAATAATAAGGTAGGGGAGTCAAGGCGTGTCCGAGGTCCGTAGGATAGCCGAGGGAAAACTTATCCACAGGAACTTCCCCCATTTCAGGAATTGCTTCTGACATGTCAAAAGATCCGTGAAGACGCTTTGGCTGAAATTAATGCGAAAGCGACAGCGAGAATCAAGGAGTCAGATGAACAAGCCCTGTTGAAGATGCGGTATGTAAACTAGTATAGGGTAGAACAAGCTAAAAGCCTTGGAAAATCACAAAACGAGTAGGGAAATAGGAGGATGCTGTCCCATCCGCGTAATTTCTATGCAGTCCGTATCTGAGGGTAATAAGAGGAGTGGCTGCCAGGCTGCGACAGACAAAAGAGAGGCGGAGACGTATAGTCACCTTCGCTGTAGACGCTGGGACGTGCCAGGGGGCTATTTGGCGCAGCACTAGCCCCTTTCCACCATTTTTTTTTGTCGCTTTTCAAGAGGAGAGAGGCTACCGCAAGAGAGGCTAGCGCCGCACCAACATCATTACGGCATAAACCTTGACCTGTACAGTGTCTCTATGTACAAAAATCGTGGAGATTTTGGCGAAATTGTGTCTAAATTTTACTGGAAGTCTGAATCAAAGTTGAATGTGCGGGGCATCCCAGATTACTTTGCAATTTTTGCAAACAACTTGCGTTCAGATATGACCTTGAAAAAACACGGAAGGAAATCAAAATGCTTCGAAAAACAGTTGACGAAATAAGAGACGATATGATGAGAAACATGTGTTTTGCTTTACAGCTAAAGCAGAGGCAAACAAGATGATAAAACCTGCGTACTGTGAGCGATTTGTTTCTATTCATTTTTTGGCATACCCAATAGGGTTTAGCAAAAATGAACCCCATATTTGTTGTCCTTGCATGGACCCCAACAACTACAACATGCAACAAACCGTTTTAAAAAAGCTCACCATGGCCTGAACGACTCCCTTGTTAGCAGCTGAACACAGTCAATAAGGCGAGAGACGAGAAGACGAGTTGTCCGATATCAGAGAATAGCTACACAGGTTCAGTGGAGGTGGTAATTGCGGCCATCAGCGTCACGGGAACGATCTGACAGATGGCGGGCACGCCATTCGACCGCTTTCCGATGTAAACACTGACTATCGAGATTTTGAAGTTTGGCGCGCAAATTATTAAAGGGATCATCCGCCCTTTAATAATTTGAACGCCACGCAACAAACACGTACGCGCGGCCGCCACGCCACCTCGCTCCTCCCACTGGCGCGATGACCCCGCGATAGAATAACCACACACCTGTCTTCTAGTGAGCTTTCTGGATTTGCTTGTTTGCCTTTTTTCTCGAGGACTACGCAAAACTCTGCCACTTCTTGACCCGGTCTCATTGTCAAGTTTCTTAATTCGGGTTAACGCTCTCATTCTGCCAGCTGTGGAGTCGCATGCTAACAATCTCGCCATTTCTTGCGTTACTTCATCGAAGCCTTCTCTTTTATCACGCGCGGAAAGTGATTCGAACACATTTTTAGCTCGACCAGTTAAATGGTCATCCGCCAGAATATCGATTAGTGTCTCTTCGTTTGTAATTACGTCTCATACTTTCGCTTGAATTTTCTTAGAAATTCTTGAAAGTTTTCGCTTTTCGACCCTTTGAATACTCCCGGATCAGCACATGTCATGGCCCTCAGGTAGTTTGCTAACTGGAAATTGGCCACGGTACCTGCGTCCTCTCGCACTGGTATTGCTTCCGGTGGTTTCATTCCATGTGTCTGCCAGCTGAGAGCAGATGTCAGACCAGTCGAATAAGCTTTCTCCTGCAATATTGCATTTTGCCCTGAGGTGATTACAGTTTGCGTTGCGCAATCTTGCCTGGTGACCTTACCAGACTGTAGCTCGGGCCTCTCCTTTCTGATGGGCTTGGTGCATCTTGACTCGATTGTTTTCTTGAGCTGGAAAGCATCTGTTTGTAGGAATTCACACAACTCGTTCACCAGCTCTCCATCTTTCTCGACAGTTTTTATGTACTCCTTCCATTCTTCTTCTGACTCTATTCCCCTCTGGGTAAGCGTATCTGTGATTTGCTTCATCAGTTCTTGCGGGATCACCATATTGTCACGCATCATCACACTCTCTAGTTTTTCAATCGCCCCAGTTATCTGATCTACGCTGTTTTCCAATTCAACTCTGGCTCGCTTGGGGAACTTTGTATTTCTCGTTATCACTGTTATCTTTTTTAGTGCTTCGCGCACCCTTTCCATGCATTCGTCCCCTTTTCTCTCTCCGCTTTTCTCAGTATCCTCAGATTTGCTTACCTCCTGTGTAGATAGCTCATCGGTGGTATTGTATTCTTCCTCCATTATAACGTCTTCGTTATTTGAATCGCTCATTTTGCGTGGAGGAACTTCTCTTAAAATTACCATTTCCTTTCTTTATGGCGTATTCCTTTATGTTTCTGTCTCTTTAGGCTCCTTTTTAGAGTGTTCCTGCTTCCACTCTTTCTTACTTCGACACCCTTTCTTTCTTTGAGGTGCGAGTCCGCTTTAGCAAAGGCTTAGTCTTGCTTTTCACTGATCCTTGACCACAGAAGTATACAGTTTCGTAGTCGGTTCGGCCCCCAAGTTAAGGTGTGTGACTCCTACGAACGGTTACTTCTGTGATCGAAAGGATTCGTAACACAACAGTTTATTGGGAAACAACGAACACTTATACTACAAAGGAAAAACAAATCACTAGCGCTTGATTCGCCAAGATTCGTCTTGGCCTCGACCTGAAATGGAAAGAGGATAGGGTACTTACCGGGGTCGACGGTGACTGGGAACGGCGAGGCGGGTAGGCCACCAGCGGAGAGCGGACACACACGAAGAAGTGAACTCACTCCCCACGGCTAGTCTCTCCTATATCATTCATACGATACGAGACGATACGATAGCTTATCTCTTCTACCCGTTCATTCTAGCATGCCCTCTTGGAGTGGCTGGTGGGCTGTATGCCCGCTGGCAATCTCCTCTTTAACATCTCTTCTCTTTGCTTTTTTCTTCCTTTTTCATTCTTTTTCTTCGTCCATTCTCCTCCTTTATCTTCTCCCTTGATAGATGCCCGTGAATATGCCCCTGGAGAATATGCCCCTGGACCCTTGCAGCGAGAGCACGTCTTGTTGACAAGTGCCCACCAGCTGTAACTTTCTTCACATGTGATGCCCCTCATTTTTCTTCCTATTCTCACTATCTGAAAAATTCCCCGTTTCTTTTAGATGCTAAAGATCCACGTCACCGGTGCAGTGTCATTTGCAGTTTCTTGAAGAATGAGTAATTTTCTGGAATACATCTTTTCGTCGAACTCGTTGGGAGATAGCTCATTCGGCGCCGATTGACATCCCCTCTGTACTGCGCCATGTATCCGACTGCCACGTAGAGGTGTTGGAAAGGTGCAACTTCCATGTCAGGCTTCTCCGTTAAAGCAGATGTGGTTCTACAGTTCATAAACATCCAGCCTACACTGTGCTCCGCTTCCTTATCAACCTTTGTGAGCGGCTACTGTATCACTTCACACCACCCATTCCCACTTCTGAGCTTGCAACTTGCCTCTTGCGATCTTCAGCTGTCTCTTTAGCTGTTTTTTACAGCAAGGACCATGTCATCTCTGTATGCTAGAGATAGGTGAGTAAAGAAAGCCAATTGGAGATGTCGTCACAGCACAATTTCCTCTCCCACTTCCTTCATAAAGGTTCTAATGCGCTTTGAAGAAAACAAAGCAGTCTGCAGCCTGTAGAGCAACCCCCAGAATTCGCTGTCATTGTCCTTCTACGTAGGCGAATTTTCATCATGTTTATTTACTTACTCATTTTTTCACCAGTCGGATCACCCGGCTGCCGCCGGGTGCTCCTCCTTCTTTGTCACGGCCCGGCTTCGCCGGGCCGGCCTGGCTTCGCCAGGCACTCTTTCCTTAGGCGAGGTAGAGTGTGCAAAATACGCCTAACCGTCACAGTGCATTTTCCAGCAAAATGTATCCTTTTCTAAACCCTACATCGTATCTTGGAACCAACCTCCTACTGTTGCTGTGACTCGCGTGATGGACTCAGTGACCATACCCTTCTAACATCCCTCGAATCTTATCAGCAGCTGACAGTTCTTGTCATCCACCAATGTTCCTTTCCCATACCCTACATCATATGTTGGAATCAACACCTGGCTGATGCTGTGACCCGCATTACGAATATGGTGAGAGTCCCCTTCTGAGGCCTCTTATCAGATATTATCAACTGATATCACTTCCTATCACCCACCAATAGTGTTCCCGTCACACCCTCTACGTCACTTCTTGGAACCAATATCTCGCTGCTACTG